AAAAAAAAAAAAAAAAAGGAAAGAGCCTCAGAGAATAATGGAACGCTATCAAGCAATTCCAACATATACATAAAAAGAGTCCCAGAAGGAAATGAGTGACAGAAAGGGGGTGCAAGAACATGTGAAGTCATAATAGTCAAAAGCATCTCCAATTTTATGAAAAACATTAATCAAATTATGCAACAAGTTTAATACACTTCAAGTAGCATAAGCTCACATCTTAATAAGTTAATCAAAAACCAAAGGCAAAGAGATAATCACGAGAGCAGCAAGCAAGAAATAAATTGTCATGTATAAAGGAATCATTGGTAAGATTAACAACTACAAACTTTCAGTTTAAGATAAATTCTCAGGATCTAATGTATAGCATGGTAACTGTAGTTGACTGTATTGTACTGTATACTTGAAATTTGCTAACAGAGCAGGTCTTAAGCGTTCTCATTTTAAAAAAGTATGTAACATGATGAATATCTTAATTGACTTGGTTGTGGCAGTCATTTCACAATGCATATGTGTATCAAATCATCACACTGTACATTTTGAATGTAAACAATGCTTTTTGTTAGTTATACCACAATAAAGCTGAAAGAAAGAATCCTTGGAGGCCAGAAGGCAGTGGGATGACATATTCAAAGTTCTGAAAGGAAAAATAAATGTCAGCCAAGAATCTTTTATCCAGCAGATGTGTCCTTCAAAATATGGAGACATGAAAGGATTCCCAGATAGACAACATTTGAGAGAATTCATTGCTATCAGATCAGCCCCATCAGAAACATTAAACAGAGTCCTTCCAGCTGAAATGAAGATGAGAGAGTAATTCAAAACATGAAGAAATAAAGAGCATAGGTAAAGTTACATCAGTAAAAACGAGACAGTATGTCTAAATAAATAAAACGTATGGGCTGGATGTGGTGGCTCACGCCTGTAATCCCAGCACTTTGGGAGGCTAAGGTGGGTGGAGTGCTTAAGCTCAGGAGTTTGTGACCAGCCTTGGCAAAACCCCATCTCTACAAAAAATACAAAATTAGTCAGGTGTAGTGGTGTATGGCTGTAGTCCCAGCTACTCGAGGAAGCCGAGGTGAAAGGATGGCTTGGGCCCAGAAGGCAGAGGCTGCAGTGAACTGAAATCACACCACTGTATTCCAGCCTGGGTGACAGAGTGAGACCCTGTCTCAGTAAGTAAGTAAGTAAATAAATAAATAAATAAATAAAATGTATGTAGTAAAAATTGTATCAATAATGTGTTTTTCATATATCTGTTTTGAAGGACAACTACATAAAGCAAATATAAATTTATGTTCTCGAGCACACAATGTATAAAGATGTAATTTGTATGAAAATAAATAACATACAGAGTGGGGCATGGAACATGTATGGGAGAAAAATGTTTATAGGCTATTGAAATTATTAATCATACTTAATGTTATAAGTTAAGATGTTAATTGAAGTCTCCAGGGCAACTATTAAAACAAAAAAATTTCAAAAATATATGTGACAAGAGAAACAGCACAGGGATTGAATCAGCACAATAGGAAATACCTAACACAAAACAAGGTGGTAATGGAGGAATATCAAAAGCAAAAGACATACCACATATAGAAAAATAGCAAAATAGAATATTTCGATGCTATTAGTATTTTACTAAACTCTAATTAGTTGTTAAATCAAATGGACTTTGATTATACACTTCAGTTAAGTGGCAGAGAGTGGTAGAACAGATAAAAAAATGTGATCTACCTATAACCTGTCTACAAGAGTCAAACTTTAAATTCAAGACACAAAGATGATCAAAGTAACAGAACAGGAAGAAATGCATCAAGCAAGTATTAACCAAAAGAAAGCCAGAATAGCCTTATTAATATTGGGTCAAATAGGCTTAGAACAAAATTATTCCTAGAGATGAAGAAAAACATTTTATAAGGACCAAAAGGTCCATCCTTCAAGGGTATAATAATTACAAAATTGCCATGCAATTATAAATGTATAAATTATAAAGAATTTTGCACTTAACAACAGAGCTTCAAAATACATGAAGGAAAACTGACAGAATGGAAAGGTGAAATAGACACTTCAACAATAATATTTGGAGACTTCAATACGTAATCTTAAATAATGGATAAACAATGAGGCAGAAAAGTTAGACAAGGAAGTGGAAGACTTGAACAATACTCTCTGAGAAACCTAACGGGCATCTACAGATTGCTCCGCTCAGGAATAGCAAGACACACATTCTTCTCAAGACACATCAGACACTCCCCAAAATAGACCATATGACAGGCAAAAAACCAAATCTCTGTAAATTTAAAGTGATTAAAATCATACAAGTTATGCTCTTGGGCCACAATGTAATAAAATCAAAAATAGGCAAAAATTTAGGAAGTCCACAATATAGGTTAATCAAGCAATATCTATATAGGTTATGGGTCAAAGACACCACAATAGGACTTAATAAAATACTTTATTTTTAATTTTTTTGTTTTTTGAGACAGAATCTCACTCTGTCGCCCAGGCTGGAGTGCAATGGCGTGATCTCAGCTCACTGCAACCTCCATCTCCCGAGTTCAATCGATTCTCCTGCCTCAGCCTCCCAATTAGATGGGATTACAGGCACCTGCCACCACACTTGGCTAATTTTTGTGTTTTTAGTAGAGATGGGGTTTCACCATCTTGGCCAGGCTGGTCTTGAACACCTGACCTCAGGTGATCTGCCCACTTCAGCCTCCCAAAGTGCTGGGATTACAGGCGTGAGCCACCTCAACTGGCCATAATAAAATACTTTAGATAGATGGATACAATAACACAAAATACCAAAACTTTAGGGATACAGCAAAAGCTGTGCATCGATGGAAATTTATATCCTATATTAAATATATTTAATATAGGAAATGCCTATATTAAATATATTTAATATAGGAAATGCCTATATTAGAACTACCTCAAATCAGTAACTTAATCGTCCACCTAAGAAACTGAAAAGAAAAAGCCCAAACTAAACCACAGCAAGCAGAATGGAGGAGTAAACGGAGATTATAATGAAAGTAAATAAAATGGAGAAAAGAAACATAATAATGACCAAAACTTCATTGAAAATATCAGAAAAATTGACAAACTTTTAATTAGATGGATCTAGAAAAAGAAGACTCAAATTAATACCAACCCTACAAAAATATAAAAAGATTATAATACCATGAACAATTGTATGCTAACAAACTATGTAAACTAGATGAAATGAAGAAATATCTAGAAAGGCACAAACTGACAAAACTTAAAAAGATAAAGAAAATCTGAGTGTACCTATACCAAGGCATAGATTGAGCTATTAACTTTTTTTTTTTTAAGGCCAAAATCCCCATAAAGAAAAGATCGGGACATGATTGATTCACTGGTGAATTCTACTACAAGTTTAAAATAGAATTAAGTCTTTCATAAACTTCTAAAACATGGAAAAGGACGTGTCATTTCCCAACCACCCATTCTATAAGTTTAATACCTTGATATCAAAACCAGCCAAAAAACATTGCAAGAAAAGAACACAGCAAGCCAATATCTTTAATGAATACAGATGCACAAAGTCTTCAACAAAATGCTTGCACACCGAATGCAGCAACCACAACAAAAAGGGTCGTACACGGGCCCTGCGCGGTGGCTCCCGCCTGTAATCCAGCACTTTCGGAGGCCAAGGCAGACAAATCACGTGAGTCCAGGAGTTCAAGACCAGCCTGGGCAACATGGTGAAACCTCATCTCTACAAAATATACAAAAAAAATTAGCTGGGTGTGGTGGCATACTGCTGTAGTCCCCGCTACGTGGGAGGCTGAGGTGGGAAGATCACCTGGGTCTGGGGAGGTCAAGGCTGCAGTGAGTTATCATCACACAACCACACTCCAGCCTGGGGGACAGAGTGAGAGTCTGTCTCAAGAAAAGAAAAGGAAAAGAGAATGATAAGACACGATGACCAAATGGGATAATTTTAGCAATGCAAGGTTGGTTCCAAAAATTCATATTAGTCAATGTTCATACACCATATTAATAAAACAAGGTTAAAATGCGTAATCATCTCTCCTGCCCCCGTGTCTTGGTCGAGGAGCGGCCTCCCAAGGTCTCCCCTGCAAATCTGCTACGTGGCCCAGCGCCCCTGTCCCCGCCACCCGTGATCGTGTACCAAGGCCCGAGAGGGGTGGCCGCCCAGGCGGCCTGGGTTCCACTTCCAGCTACAGCTCCCGCAGCAGTACCAGGCTCCCCGGGGAAGCCATCCCCCACCCCCAGGGTCTCCCCAAGGCTGACCCCGGTCTGGTGGGCCAGCTTCTTTTTCAGGAAGTCCATCCTGCTGTTCATGGCCATGGTGTTGAGGCTGGTAGAGCATCCGGAATCCCCCCAGGCCTCCAGCAGCATGACCACCTGGGGCCTGGCTCTGGACACCCCAGGAAGCAGTCCAGTGGCCAGTCCAGCACAGCCAGCGCTGGACCCCCATCCTGACCTGAGCCGCCACCACCAGCCCCAGGTCTGCGAAGGCGCCAGGCCACCAGACCCCCTGCCTTGTCCCCTCCCCACTCCTCACCCTGTAGACTAGGCAGCTGTAGCAAGCAGACTTTCCATTAACACAGCAGACCCCAAAAAGGAGTGACAAAGCCCCTCTCCCCATGGCCACAGCACTTGTGAGCTTTCCTGATACCTGGAACTGTGCACCTGGCACCAAGTGGAAAATAAACTCCAAGCAGCCAGGAAAAAGAAGAAAGCATAATTATCTCAATAGACTAAAAAATGATTTGGCAAAATGCAACACCCTATCGTAATAAAAATAGTCGACAAACTAGGAATAGAAGGTAACTTAACCTTATAAAGGACAGCTATGAAAAGCCCACCACTACTTAATGGTAAAAGACTGAGAAATTTCCCCGATATTAAAAGAAGATAAGGATGTCCACTCTCACCACTTTTGATCCGGTACTGTCATGAGGATTCCAGCTACAACTACCAGGCAAGGTGAAGAAACAAAAAGTAGGCTGGGCGTGGTTGCTAGTAATCCCAGCACTTTGGGAGGCCGAGGCAGGTGGATCACGAGGTCAGGAGTTTGAGTCCAGCCTGACCAACGTGGCGAAACCCCCGTCTCTAAAACAAATAAATAAATAGCATACAAATGGGCAGGGAAGAAATAAAACTGCCCCAATTTGCAAATGACATGGTGCTGTATGCAGAAAACCATCAGAAATAAACAAAAAACTATTTGGACTAATAAGCAATTCAGCAATATTACAGGATACAAAATCAATAGGTAATAAGTGTTCTCACCACAAAAACGATACGTATTTGAGGTTGTGGATTTATCAATTAGCTTGATTTCATTATCCCACATTGTATTCGTAAATCACAGTATCACTTTGTACCTCATAAATATGTACAATTATAAATTGTCAACTTACAATAAAATAAAAATTCTTGGGCCAGAATTACTGTGTCAAAGGATATGATGCATTTTAAGATTTTTTTTTTTTTTTTTGAGATGGAGTCTCACTCTGTCGCTCAGGCTGGAGTGCAGTGGCATGATCTTGGCTCACTGCAACCTCCGCCTCCTGGGTTCAAGCGATTCTCCTGTTTCAGCCTCCTGAGTAGCTGGGATTACAGGCGTGTGCCACCACGCAGGGTTTCACCATGTTGGTCAGGCTGGTCTCAAACTCCTGACCTTGTGATCTGCTCGCCTCAGCCTCCCAAAGTGCTGGGATTATAGGCATGAGCCGCCGCACCTGACCAAGGATCTTGATAACTTGCCAACTTGCTTTCCAGAAGGTTGATATGAGTTTATTCTTCCACCTGTCCATAAGAGATTTCAAGTTTTTTGAGCATATTCCTATATTGAAAAATAATAATAATAAACCTTTACGAGGCTTTGAGTCTTGATAAACAAATCAATTGTATTTCTATGCACTTACATAAACAATCTGAGCTTGCAACTAAGAAAACAATTCCTTTTGCAATAGCATCAGAAATAAATACTTAGAAGCCAGGCACTAATTCCTGCTCTTTGGGAGGCTGAGGTGGGCGGTTCACTTGAGGTCAGGAGTTTGAGACCAGCCTGGCCAGCTACTTGGGAGAATCACTTGAACCTGGGAGGCAGAAGTTGCAGTGAGCTGAGATCATGCCACAGCACTTTAGCCTGGGCAACAGCAAGACTCCATCTCAAATAAATAAATAAACAAATAAATATATAGAAATGAATTCACCAAAAGAAGTATAAAACTTGTACATTGAGAACTAAAAAACATCATTGAAAGAAATTGTAAAAGATGTTTACAACATCTAATACTATTAAGATGTTGTGTTCCCCTAATTCACTGACAGATTCAGCAAATTCCTATAAGGATTTCAGCTGCCTTGAAACTGACAAGGTGATCCTAAAACTCATAAAGGAATAGAATCTAATGTAGAGAAAATAATCTTAAAAAAGAACAAGGACTCAGACTATAATCAATCTGTACAGTCCTGGTGAAAGAATGGATGTATACATCAGTGGAATAGAATTGAGAGTCTGGAAGTAAACCCTCACATTTATGTCAATTTTTAAAAAGGATGGCAAGGCCAAAGGCAGAAGATTCTTTTCAACAAATGATGCCAGGACAATCAGCATCCACATGCAAAGAATGAAGCTGAACCTCTAACTCACATCATATACAAAAGTTAATTTAGAAGGCCAGGCGTGGTTGCTCATGCCTATAATCCCAGTACTTTGAGAAGCCGAGGTGGGTAGATCACTTGAGGTCAGGAGTTTGAGACCAGCCTGGCCAACATGGTGAAACCCCATCTCTACTAAAACTATAAAAATTAGCTGGGCATGCTGGCACATGCCTGTAATCCCAGCTACTCAGGAGGCTGAGGCAGTAGAATTGCTTGAACCTGGGAGGCAGAGGTTGCAGTGAGCCAAGATTGTGCCATTGTGCTCCAGCCTGGGAGACATGGCGAAACTCTGTTCCAAAATAATAATAATAACAAACGGACATAATAACAAAATAATAATAATTAAAAATAGATCAAATACTGATAAAACATAAAACAAAAAAACATAAGCTGAACTATATGAATCTCAGAAAGAAAGGCGTACAGTTTAATTTTCTTGAATTTGGTGATGAATTCTTAGATGTGTCACCAAAAGTACAAGCAACCAAAGGAAAAATAAATAGGACTCACCAAATTTAAAATCTTTTGTGTTTCAAAGAACACCATCATGAAAGGCATACAACACCACACAGAGGTGAATAAATTATCAGCAATTAATGTATCTGATAAGATCTGTTATCCAGAAGAGATAAAGAACATTAGCAAATCAACAATAAAATGTCTAACAAATTTTCAAAATGAAAACTGGATTTGTATAGATACTGCTCTAAAGAAGATACACAAATGGCAATAAATACATGAAAACATGTTTAAAATCATTGGTTAATAGGGAAATGCCCATTAAAGCCACTGAGATGGGACTTCACATCCGTTAGTGTGGCTATAATTTAAAAAGCAAGTACAAGTGTTGGCAATGATTAGAGAAGTGGGACCTTCCCACGTTGCTTGGGCGAATGTGAGAAGGAAAAGCCTCTGGTGGTTCCTCAGACAGTTACTCACAGGGCTACCACATGACCGGGCAAATCCGCTGCTGGTTGTATACTCAGGAGAAATACAAAACATTTGTTCATACAAAAACGTGAACATGGGTGTTTATAGCAGTACTGAAATATAATTCGCATCCCGTAAATGCACCTTTTCAAAGGATACAATTCAGTGGTTTTTAGCATATTCTGGTTTTGCCATCATCTTCACTATCTAATTCCTGTCCTTCACTCCAAAAAGCAGAGAAGTAGTCACCACTTTTGATAGCAGTCAAAAAATGAAAACAGCCCCTTTGTCCATCACTGATAAATAGAAAAATGAGATGAGTGTTGTCCACACAATGGATGATATTGACCACAAACAGGTGAGGTCCGGATACAGGCCACAGCCGGGTGAACTTGAGTACAGTCTGCCTGTGGAAAGAAGTCAGCACACAAAACACAGCCCATTGTATAATTCTATGTATATGAAATGTCCAGAATTTAAAAATTCGTAGACCAAAAGCGTTTTAGGTGTTGGCAGGGCAGGGTCTGTGGAGAGAATAGAGTTGGTGACATGGGCAAGTGGCTTCTTTTTGGAGTGGGGGAGTACAAAGGCAAAACCAGAATATGCTAAAACCCACTGAATTGTATCCTTTGAAAAGGTGCATTTATGGAATGTGAATTATATTTCAGTACAAAAGAATATGACTATTTTGTTTTTAAACATGTTGCACTAAATAAACTATAACAATTGCTGGTGAATGAATTCAATGATGAAATTCCCCGCGGACTTCAGTGGAGGGGGTTGTGCGGGATGATATTTGAGGCTTAACCTCGTTCTTCCGCCAGAGCCTGTTTTGATGCAGCCAGGCAGCTGTGGGGCCGGGGGTACGTTTTCTTCCCCAAGGATCCATCCCATGTACATTCTTTACTGGAATCCATGATCTCCTTATCACTAACTGTGCAGCGGGGCCACCCGAATGAAAGTGGGGTTACGAGGAGGGACCCTGCATTGTGCTGCACAGAAAACACAGGCAGATTGTGTGTGAACATCTGCTGTTGTTAGATGAGGCCGTGTAGAAACTTAGCACAACACTGTGACCAGAGCATGGGTGCCGGAGCCTGATGACCTGAGACCAAAGCCACATGTGCCTGGGAATGTCACACAGGACAGAGCCCTACTGTTCCACATGGGCACGGGTGCGACACTTTACAGCTCCTGGATGGGCAGAGCAGGGGCTGTGACATTTACTTTATGGTTCAGGGCACTGAAATGTACAGAGATCCAGTGACTTGTTCAGAGCAGCAACACTGACGGGTAATGACGCTGGGAATTTATTGGTTCCCAAGAGATGGAGATGCCCGAACACCTGAGACTGAGGCAGGAGATGAGCGGGACTCACTTTCCAAGCACCTGTCACGGCCCTGCTGATCAAAACAAGATGTAGCAAAGAAACTGGCCCAAACCAGCCAGGACTAGGAATTCTAATGCATTTGCTTCAGTCACTCCCCCCAGGGCCATGACAGTTTACAAATGCTATGGCAACGACCTGGAAGTTACCTTATGTGGTTCCAGGAACTCGTGCCCCTTTACTAGAATAGCCCACCCCCTGATTAGCATATAATTAGGAGTAGGTATAAATGCAGCCAGCGGTCACTCCACTGGTGCTTCACACCTCTGGACGGCCCTGTTCTCTGTGGAGCAGCCATTTTGGGTGACACTTGTTCACACAGACATGCCATCGTTCACTGTTGGCTCCTTCTTGTTTATTGAGTAGAGAAAACTTTCGAGCTCATCTGAATCAAGACCATTAGATCCCGCCCTGGACACTGAACCAAGGACCCTCCTCACTCCTTTTCCAAAGCCCCCACCCCCACGGCGGCTGCAGGGAGACACTGACGCCTGGAGGAGGTGCTTGGCCCAAGAGAAGGGCCCAAATCCCGACTCAACTCCCAGCTTTACATTTCAAACCCTGACCCAAAATGCCATGGCTTT